ATGGATTTATCGACTTGACCGAAGAGACGCTCTATGATTACGTGTGAGTAGAAACTAGGAGACAAACAATTATTGAACGAAGATGTGGGAGAGACAAGAATTGGGGAGGGCTGAAAACGGGGGGATAAAAGTTGGAACGGGACGATAGGGATGAAAAAGCGCAAGAGGGGGATAAAAAGATGAGAAGATTTGAGTAGTAGCATACAAACCCCGATTCGTCCTGCCCGATGCAGCAGATATGGCACCGTTTATTATCCTCTGCGACGATCAGAGCATCAAGAAATTATTTGAAGAAAGGTTCATCGTATTGCGTGGCAGAATGCTGTTAAGTCGCCCTTCTTTCTAGAAGGATTAGGGCACTCAATAAAAGTCTTCGGTTAAGAAACCTGAGTACAATGCAGCATGGTTACGTCAATGAGCTATGGAGTTAGAAGCTATCCTCTCTCCAACCATAAACTTGAAGAGACGGCTTCTAATCACTGATCAATCTGGTGTGAGTGATTCTGAAGATGCAAAAGCACCACCCATTATAGTTCAATGGATCGTTGAGGCGCGCCGTCCCCTTGTCTTAAAGATCGCAAGCCTGTCTTGTAATCCGATGGTGTAGGCTGAGCCATGGACGGTTACTTTAGAGGCTCCATTAGAAACTCAGGTCAGAAACGTGACCGCAGTCCTTCATCGTTTATCAGCAGCTCGCCCGGATTACCTTGCACCTACACTATTTAGGTATGCTCGTGATGTTCTCTGCACCTTTGTTCGAACAGATCTAGAAGGAGACTATTCTAGCCAAATACAGTGAATCGATCATAGTGGTAATAGACAAGAAAGGCAGTCACAGCGGTGGTGATAAAAGTACGGGCCACAATTCTCGTTCGTCACCTCAATGCGAAGCGGGAATCCCTGAGTAAAGAACATGCAGGTTTGCGCCCAGGACGGGGCTGTGTAGACCATATATTCACTCTGCGGTAGGTGCTAGGGCAGTGCCACGCGTACTGCAGACCGGCAATAGCTATGTGCTTCGACCTCAAGTGTGTTCGATTAAGTTGAGCGATGCATTCTGTATGAAATACGTGCAGGGAAAGGTGTTCCCATGGAATATTTTAACATTCTGCGTACCATGTAATCGAACACCACAGACCGCGTCAGGTTCTACGGCGACTTGTAGGATGTATTTCTAATAGGTGGCGGTCGTCAAGGTTGCCCAATTGCCCCATTTCCGTTCAACTTCGTCGTGGACTCCACCATGAAGTGTACTCTTGCGGGACCTCACGATGCAAGAGGTGAGGTTCTGCCTGGTGAATAGTTGACCTTGATTATGCGGAGGATACTGTCTTGCGGTTTAACGACGTTGAGGCGGTCTAGTCAAAGCAGAGGAAACTCCCTAGTCTTCCCATCATTTGGTATGCACTGCGTACGTTCAAAGTGCAGTGTTACTGCAAGGACATCAGCCAATTGATGGTCCCCTGACCCTTAATAGCGAGGAACTCGAGGTAGTTGATCAACTCACTTACCTTGGCAACTGCATCAGCAGCGATGGACATATAAGTACTGAAGTCAGTTCACGTAGTGCAGAAGCCAGAAACGCCTTCTTGAATCTGCGACACCCTTGGTGTCAGAAAAGGGTTGCCCTCGGTCTGTAAGACCGTGCTTACAAGGCCAGGTTGGGGGCCATCCTAATCTATAGGAGCGAGACTTGGCCCTTCGATCTGAGGTTCCCTTTAAGTTGTTGATAATCACTGCGAAGCATTGCTGGTGTCGAACGACGCCAGCACGTCCGCAACAATGAGGTGCGTAGGCGAGTGCTAGGCAATGATTATCACGCTAGTTCCTTAGAACAGACAACAATGAATAAGTTGTCTGCTTGAGCACGACCAGTAAACGTTAACCGAGGAGGGACATGTTTTATTTGTTAGATGTAAAGTGACACAATGCTCGAGATGGATAAAAGTTAACTTAGCAGCGGAAAAGGAAGTCAGTGACGACCAAACTAGGTGCCGTCGGTCTGCCTTGCTTACCGGCTTGGAGTCCACGTGACTCGCCTTGTGCTTGGCTCGGGCTGTTACAGGACATGGCTCACAGCCGCCACCAGTGGCGCATCTGCAGTCATCTCCTAGTTGGGCTGTCTGCTTAAAGTGTGTTTGATGATGAGCTATTTGCGGGGTAATGGCTGACTATGACGCGGGACAGTGAAAGACGCAAGGGAGCAGTCTCTACAATGCCGCCTTATCTTTGCACGATAGCCAGCTATTTGTGGCGGTATGTTGTTGACAAGCTGTATGCGCCTTGACTCTGAATGTTGTTTAGAGCACAAAGGTTTTGTGCTGGGTCTCCGTTCTCTCCATCTTATTATTCTTCGTTCAGTAAGTCACCGTGGTTGTGCAGTAGCGAAGCATCAATTCAAATAACGGTTTTGCTGTTAGTGATAGTGACTGAATGGAGATAATCCGAGGAAGGGTCATTCTCCACATTGCCAGCAAGCAGATGGCGACCTGTTTGGCTTCACAGGGTTTGGAATATTCGCCGGCTTTGCGCGCTGGTTTGACACCGCCAGCACATTTATGGGATATGGACTGCGGTCTTGGGCAATCGGTTTCGTACCGTTTCAGATTGAAAAGCTTCTGACACTCGGAAGTGGTGGACATAAGAATGATGGACGGGTCCTGTACAATTTTTTTAGGCAACCTCAGACGAACTGCGCCATCCTCGGGCGTTTGGACATCATAAACAAAAGTCAGTGCATTGAACTGGTCGTCCATTCCTTTTAGCTTGAAAAACTCGCAACGACAACTGATATTATTTGGTAAGTTACAAAATCGTCTGGTGCGTAATTTAGGAGCCTCCTACAACTATATGGGGCACTGAACAGCGACATATAGTCCACCGATCAATTCCTTAGGTGCTCCTCCAACACTGTCGAGGCCTTTTTACTCTCCCCCAGGTTAACGATCAAGACAAGGCGCATGACTTCGCAACCAGTGGTAGTGGTGTGTTGAAAAAGTTATCTAGCGGGGAGTCTCGATTCATATCGCGTCGATCAACATCAGATGGGAGAAAGGGACAGCATTGGCTCTCATTCTGAACTCTATCGAAAGATGTGTCCCGCCAAAATACGCACAAGTAGTAGTCGTGTGCAAATGATTTGTTGATTGCTCGACACACACATTTCGGCGAAAATGACTATATGCTACGCCGCTGTGGTGATGCCGAGTCGATGGCTCGAGGTACGCATGGTGTCAATATTCTATGCAGCAAATTGAGGCTAACGTAATTGACAGTATCTCGATGGAGGGTATAGTGAGTGCGGTTCTACTTCATAGCTCTACAAGAGTTAACGGTTACAAATAGGAGGCTATACACTTTACCCCTGGGTAGAGCTTAAATTCACCATCCCGGAATTTAAACAATGTGTTCTATAAAAACGAGTCAATCCTAGTGACCTGCTGCCTTCTAACCGTGATTTGCGCCTGCACTACGATGGTTAGCTCACAACTGAGGATCCAGATTCCTCCATACGACAACAGTGCCAAAGCAATCAACATGGCACAACACCCACGGAGCAGCTGCAAGTTGTTGGATCTTAAGAGGACGGTAGAGTTAATGCCTCGGGCTAGTAACGACATGTAGTCAAAACTCGTTACAACTACTCTGGTGGTATGTAGTATTATGATTAAAAATACATACTGAACATATCGAGGCTACAGTCCGTGAAAGTGCAGGTTCCAAAGCGCCCTGCGAATCAAAGCTGGGGGTATAGAAATGCCAGTATCTGTGCTGTGCAAAAATGACTAGAATAGTAAGAACCGTTTTGGAAAACCATGGGAGCAGTTCTTGACGCCATATTTTAGGGCGGAGATCGCTTATGTTCTGACACATGACAACCCCCAGTGGAAACAAGCAGGGATCCGCCCGATGTACCTACTTGAGTCTGACAGGGTAGAGGGTGAATAATCGCCATCATCATCATTACGCATTAACTGAAGGTGAGAAACACTTCAACTATTTTGCCGCAACACAAAAAGAAAAGAAATAGGAAAAAAACGAGATACAGAAAAGCGAACAGGTAATATACTGCTTAAGAGGCTGAATGCGACAATATCATGGTTTCCGGGAGTAGACAACTATGTCAGATTGACTACACTAACCTAAACAGGTGACACAATGAAGTACATGTACGTTCTGTGTGCGAGTAGCCCACGTAGAGGCGCAGGTAAGAGAGAATCAAACACCGGATTAACGGGGCTAGATGGTGGCAGAAATGAGTGGGAAACAGTCGCCCAGCTAACCTTTTAAAATGTAGCTTGCGCAGCCATTTTATCGCACAGTCCAAAGCAAGGAAACGAGTGATGCGATCACAAGGCGCTGTCGCTGGCGTATCGGAGCCGGAGAACCTGGTTACATTGCATACATATGTCTGCGATCCAGCAATATGTATCAAAAGTATGTCTACAGCGTGGCCAGCTGTGACTGAAGATGGTCCAATGTGTGGTCAATAGAACGATGTCTCTGTTGTGCGTACACTTCCCTACATTTTCATTATCCAGAAAATACTCATCATCCACTCGCAACAAGTGAGACAAAAGCACAATCATGCGGTATTAATGCTTGCTAAAATGGTGAAAACTATTTGACTAATAAAGTTGTATACAATGCGGCGCTGCACAATAGAGTGAATGAGAGTTGAGTGTGGCATCAGAAGTATGCCAATAAGTAGTACCGAGCTTCGTTGCCGCGTAACCACCGCCAGTCAGGGTGGGCTAAGGATACTGCGAGAATCGTCCGGTCCCCTACGCAGGCTCGAAACCGCTATATGTAAGCAGTGGATGGGGTTTATCGTATATCAAGCTGTCAAGCCAAGTGGTCATGGATACTCAATGTGGGCTAAAGATCGAAATTAGTGGACGAAGTAAATGGAGTATTACCGAAAAGACCGGAAGTTAAGAACAAGACACTTGACATAAAACTATGAGAAGCAGAGAGAGTGAAGTGATACAAAAACTTACGCTCCAATTCCCGCTTCAAAATTCGATAGCGTTTTTCATCGGCCTGGCTGAGTTCACCCGCTTCGTCCTTCAGCTGCTGTAGTTTGCGGAGTTCAGTGTGACCTTTAACATTTTGCGCCTGCACATGCAGCATCAGCTGACTGACAGGAGAGGCGAGAGCTTCTCGAGAACGTGCACACAACCGAACCACTCTGAGTCCTGTTCGACTGATCTTCTCACAAAGCTGGTCCACAGCTGTGTTACTGGGCGCGACCACCAACACTTTCTTTTGGTGAATCTGGTTCAAATGATACACAATCGAAGCGGATGTGACTGTTTTTCCGGTTCCCGGTGGTCCTTGAATTAAGCTGAGGGGTCGCTGCAGTACAGTCTTGACTGCAAACACCTGACTATGATTGAGTTCAGGTAAATTGGGCGCAGAATATCGTTTTGGTAGGTTGCATTTCAAAACCATATCATCCATTTCTTGTCCCAAAAGACGATAAAAGATGTAGGGTGTCAAGAGCTCGTATCTATCCTCCGTCACTAGAGAAATTGCACTAATCATCCTATCGAAAGGTGTTGATTTCCATTTGAACTCCACTGTGTATGTAGCAGAATCGTTCGGAATAGCATCAACGTGCTTCATTTCGAGACCAACTTCGTCACTGAAATCTGGAAGAACAAGAGTGAAGAGAGAGTGGCGAAGGGCATTTACTCGAACAGCCGATGACGTTAGTGGTTCAGAACATTACAGCGCTTGTCTGCTAACGGCGGTTAACCGCGATTAAATGGCTGTTTGACATGTGGTGTCCAAAATGGACACCTAGAGTCGGGCCATCGCAAAACGGACAACAAGTACTGTTTGAGGAGCTAGCAGGGTGAGTCATACTTGACTTAGAATATGATTCGTTTTAGGTTTGCGTGTGAAGATTAGCCGTGTAGTGTTATCAAGCATGACTTAAGAGTGCTTGCTTATAAAGCGCTTCATGTGTTGATATGCTTGGGTCAGTTATTCGTGTCGTGCCACACCGTCCTTAAAAAGCACAGGCTCTATGCAATTCGGGTCAAAAGTGTGGAAGCAGATGAGAAACATGACGACCTTTCCAAGCCTAAAATTAGAGCGCAGTTTCTACACTAGGCAAGTGTCAGTCAAACCGCATCACCTAAGCGCGTGGCACACAGGTAAGGTGTCCCTAAGTGTCCCGCCAAATGAATCAGACGGTGTTTCTCAAGGTGATTAAGTGGGCTGATGTCCGTGACTGTTACAGAAACAACAACTTTCTTGGAACAGTTATGCGTACTAGCCCCAGGGGCCTGAGGTAGATACCTGCTCTGTGTGTCCGGCATGCTTCCCTTAATCTCGGGGAATTGTTTTAGCTTGTGCCTAACATTGAATCTAAACACATTAAAAATAGTGACAGCAGGGATTTTTCCTTTGAATTCCATGCAAATCAGCTACAGCCAACGAAGTGCCAACCAGAAGAAGCAGTTTGTCGATCTCCCGTTAGACTCATTGGTGGAAAGCTTCAACAAGCCAAAGGAACCCGTGGAGAACTGCTGTCAGACGAGCAAGGAAACAAAGGCAGAGTCCAGAACTCGCTTCTCAAGCACTTCAGCCGAGGCGATGAACCGACAAACACAGTCCACAAGACTGCAAATTAATCCAAGGCTTTCATCATATACCGCAGATGTCGTTCCAAGAGTGGTGGCCGGGAAAGGATAAGAATTCCCCGGAAAGCCATTATTTTAGTGATCAATCGATTGTTACCGATTATTATTATTTCGAACATTCTGGAATGTCTTAAGGCCTGCACCTGACTAGCAATCTCCAGTAGATCGACCAAATCTATCTGCAACAACTAACTGGCAGTTGACCTTCTTATTCCAGAAGTTGAAGGTCAGTAGGAGACTTATAAATACAGCCAAGGTCTGCTGCAGTTGGACAATGTTTTGTTATCAACGGTTAACACGTTATTTGTCAAGGTCATTGGCAGGCTGAGATTCCCTTCCGTTGGGATAGAAGTTTTTGGAGCGGTAAATTACCTATTTCGGGATCGCGTCAAGTGGGAAGATTACAACAGATGGTTTGCGTACCCCCGTGACCCATTAAGCTACGCTTGGTGGCACTTTCCAGGTGCGTTCAGATCCACTTAAACTAGACAGGTCAGTGGTTAAGAGTCTCACAATTCAATCTTATTCGGAGGTTACGGAGAATTGGATGGCCCTCTTCCTTTAAAACCTATCCGTGGGAGACAAGTCTATGGAGTATAAGCTCACAACTCCATTGACGTAGGGCACGAGCGCCACGCATTGTCTTCGATGGTGGGAGGATACCTTTCGGTGCTCAATGGTTTGTCCCGTCCGCCTCATGCCATGCAGCCCCTGGTCAAATTGGTGCAAACCCGCCAACTCCCACCTGGAACTGGCCGTGGTCGTAGATGCGTAACAAGGTTGACGGCATCCAGTTCCGGATTTGCCTGTGACTGCTGCCTTCACGGGGACAGGGCACAGGACGCCTGTGCCTACAGATGGGTCATGGGCTGTTTACGCTGCATTACCCACAGCTCTTTCCACACATCCCATCTCCAGTGTAAACCCGAAGGAATAAGAAAGGGAGGTACGTGGATGGGTGCCAGGTTTCATTAATGAAACTGGCGCATACTCCTTCAATAAGCAGAGAGGAAGCATTCATGCCTAATTGGGAAATCATGCGTAGCAGACGTACACAAGGAGGTGGCTGGACCGTAGTACGCTCCACAGTGAGTGTATGAAACCACTATTTGAACCTAGTACGGTCACGAGGATCGTGCATCCTTTCCCCGCTCAACAACGATTAACAATCTCCTGAAACCAGTAATCGAGGTAGAGGGTGCTAGACAGGTAGGCACCTTGTCAACACTCACATCAAGCACAGACACACCGGGGATATCATAAAACCAACATGGAATTTGGAGGAGAATAAGCACGAAGAGTGGACACGAAAAATTAGGCATGTATGAGAACTGAGCAAATCAAATAAAGTGGAAGACATTTTATCCAAATTAAAAAGATCTAGTTTAGATGTAAGTCGGTGTAGCTCAACTGCGGTGAAGAAGCATGGTGTATGCAACATCAACCTCAGCATGAGGCGTAACATAATACGGTCGTAAGACACGTGCGCAATTTTTAATTTTCAAAGATTGCGTATGACAGGCCTCAAGAAAACCCCAATGGGTCTCTGCAACCACACTCCCGAGCTGGACTTGCTCCCTACTGCCTTCTGGGTCAGACCGTTGAGTCAAAGGTTGGGGCAGGGCACCTCGAAAAAACCCTCTCGGAATGAGCAGCCGGAGAGTATCACCTGTCCTCTTGATGGTGTCGATAATACTCCCACTTCTTCTCTTTCCCCTCTCGTCTTCCCCGGCTAAAAATCATGAACCCGCCGCTGACCACGCAGTTGCTGCCATCGATACTCGTCCATCAAGTCTAGTCACATCCCACATTGGTTCTTTTAGCGTCTGCACTCTAGATCAGATCGACCAACAGGTAGCACTTCGCCCCCTTGTTATTGATGTGCGCTGTGACTCTAAAACACACATACAAGATAACAGCAATGCGACAAATGCTCGACTCCCTGGTTCTGATTAGCGGCTGGCGATACTAAGTCAATGACTCAAGGTATCTACGATATTGGTATTGCCCTCAGCAGATTTGCTGAAGGTAATCTACTCGACTGGATACCAGTGAAAAGCCGCATTTGTGCAGATTTAATAAGCGCCGTCGGAAGACAAGGTGCTTTTCCATCGCCTTAGTTAATGCCTCTACTGGGTGCAGTTCACAGGGTAACAAAGACGGTTGCTACTAACAAATTTCATCTCTTCTTCGCATGACGAAAAAGACTGACCTCGTGATTGTTGCAGGTGATATGAGCAGTGCCTGGAAGGCCGCTTCGGAGTTTGTCGGGGAGAGTAAAATCTCCCAGCAAAACAATAATGCAGGGCGAAAAGTTGAGCCAATAGTGTACAGCAGAAACATCAAGTGGTTTCAGGAACGTCCGCATCCATACGACGCAAGTACTTACCACACCACGGGCTAGCGGAACTGTACTATCAATCAAGGTAGCTGACGGAGCTGTTCCGAAACGCGAACCCTCCTGGATGGGGTAATAAATATTCAATGGTTTCTACAACACTTGTTTCCGTTTCGTTAGCTGGTACTGTAACAAGCTTTGCCTCCAAGCATTGCCTTTTGATTTCCGGCTGAGAGCTAGCAGAGAACGGCTTCAGTTCAGCCCGAATAGCGCAGACAGGTAGACTATAACAGAGTCAACGCACGCCGAACTGACAATGGTGATCGATTTCTGCAACTGTGGGCCGACTATAACCTTTAGCTTAGCAACACTGCTTTCCAGCACAAACGCTCACACCGCGTCACCTGGCGCCCACCGAATTCCCCTATGACCTGGACCCAAACGGACTATATTGTCATCAGCTGCAGATGGTGTACATCAGTTCAAGACTGTCAGCGAATTAGAAGCCTGTGCACGCTTAGCACTCACTCTTCCCGTTTCAAAGAAGCGTCTGTCTTCTAACCTGTAACTTGAACTCGCAGTCTCCCGTTCAACAATACCATAGCGAACTGGCCCACCAATTGTCAGTGATAAATGAACTTGATGAGCCGAACGCTGACTGGGATCGTCTCAAACGTGTCATGAAGAATGTCTGAAGCATGCTGCGCACCAAACTTGACACGTCATAACTGTGAATGGATCTCTGAGGCATCGACCAGCTTGGTCGAAGCACAGAAACAGGTTCCGAAAAGCACTGAGCTTTAGTGTGTCCGTAACTCTTTGAAACGACGTCTGACAAGGAACCTTCGAATGGATCGAAAACGATGGTGGATGGCAACGGCTCCCTAAGATGGGGAAAGTCAATGCTACTGGAGACAGTTGAATGCTAATCCAGCTCATCTGCAACAGGGGTCTGAGAAAGTCATCAGTTAGCGATGCAATAGTTGAGAAGGATGGACAGCTGATCCATTCTCAGCGTCGTCGACTAGCCCACTGGGCAGAACCTTTTGAAGAGCAGCTCAGCAGGTCTGCTGCGACACTGACGCTTGCCGAATAGCCTGAGCTGACGTGGGAATTAGGTGTCACATCTCCCACTTGGAAGAGATTCGACATGAGTTTTCTGTGTTAAAACGAAACAAGGCTTCTGGATCCGACGATCTTTCTCCACCTTTGCTGAAAGATGGTGGTGATCCCTTGTTGACTGGACTCACTTCAGACTGCCGACTAGCAAACGTCGTGCTAATCTGCAAGATGGGTCAGCGTACTTTGTGCGAAAATCATCGAGGCATTAGCCTTGTTTCCGCTGCCTCCAAACTTCTCACGGGTATCATTCTCCGATGACTTGCTGGTATCCGTGAGAACTGAATCAGTGTAAACCACCGTAGTCGTGGTTGCATCGACCACATACTTACTCTTCGCCGAGTTCTAGAGCAGAGACACACAGACCGATGAGAGTGGTTTTCCTTGACTTGAAAGCTGTCCGACTGTTAACCGTACCAGCTTGTGGCACTGCCTATCCGTCAAGGGCGCACCGGCTAAATTCCTTTGCATTATGCAGTCTCCCTACCGCGACTTTCGTGGCCATGAAAGGGTCCACGGGAAACTGTCTCCTGAGTTCCGCACGACAAGTGGGGTTCGCTAGGATTGTTCTGTATCTCTTATTCCTCTTCGACTTTGCTATCAAAATGATCATGAATGATTCTGCTCCTTCAAACTCTTTGGGAGTGGAAGTTCAGCCTGGTGAACGACTGACAACCCTGGAGTATGCCGACGACATAGCTCTCATTCGGTCGGACGCAGTGGCTATGCAAACACTACTGGATAGACTGACGCGTAGCGCGGAACGCTCCGGCATGTGTTCTGTACCTTCGAAGCGCAAAGTACTGTTGCAGGACTGGACCGACATACCTCCGGTTCGAGCTATCACCGAACAGCCACTGGAAGTGATGGATTGGTCCACTTAGTAGCTGTGTCACCTATGGTGGTCACATCATTGAGGAAGTTACTTCGCGTACCAGCAAGGTCCGTGGCTTCCCAGAGATTCAACCATATATGGAGAGGGCGGGATATCAGTCTGTCAGTAAAAGGTAGGGTGCATAATGCTGCGAGGAAGCCTGTCTTAGTGTATGGATCAGAGACCTGGCCAGTTTGCGGTGAAAACATTAGACGCTTAGTCGTGTGTAACCACCGGTGCCTACGAAATATTGTTCAAATTCGATGGGAACATCGGGTGAGCAATGCTGAGGTCCGCCAGTTGGTTTTTGGCCAGAGGCCTTATGGTCCTACACTGGAATGTTCGCTGAATCTTAGTCGTTTAGGTTGGCTAGGCTAGGTCTTTCGTAAACCCGTTGACCGTCTTCCTCGGCGTGCATTAGACGGCACAGCTGCACTAAGTTGGGTGAAACCGCGAGGTGACCAGCCCATGACGTAGCATCGAAACATGAAGAAATTGCCTGAGAGATTAGGTCAGGCTGTTGCGTGCCGTCTTCGTGGATGGGAGCCTCGAGATGGTGCACATCAATGGCTGGAGACCGTATCATACATAGCGAAATCACGCAGTCAGTGGAGTACTTGCATTCGGTTGTTAATCTTCGTTCCATCCTGACGAGTTTAACACAGTGTATTGCTTCAATTTTCTCTACATTCTATTTGCCTTTAACACCACTGTCTTACTGTTGTTATTCGATGTTATCCTTACGATGTGGGTTGTGGCAACCGGATCCACCAAACTTCGGAGCTCGGATCATGGTTGTTCAACGGAACTGAACTAGACCGCATAAGTAGGTAGATTGGGCTTTTCAGAAGCTCAGCTAGGTGGTAATTATGGGCTTAACTCTGAACGGACGGACAACAACGAACGCCTGTTGCAACTGTGTGCGGAGCACCGACTGTTTCTTAGTAACACCGATTTAGACAAAGTGAGCGCCGAAGTGCCACATGGCGTCCTCTTGTAAATGGACAGCGATGGACCCAAATAAACCACATCGCCTTGTTACAGGTGGCGTGATCATGACTTCATACACTGCTGTTTCTCCATGAACTTTACCGAGGCGCAATAAGCGTTTCCTCCGATTGGTAACTGAGAAGTTACCAAAACGCTCAGTCAGACGCCCAGCAAGCTGCCGTGCGTAGCAAACTGAGCTCCAGTGTAGAAGGATCTCGGCCGCCATGCAAGACACAGGAACATCTGCTCGTGGTACTATTAATCGTCACCGCACCAGTCACTGGATACCCGAGAGGTCGGTGAACCTGTCGGAATCCGACCGGCTGGCTCTGAGTACAATGTGACCGGACGGACTGTTAGGCACGAAATAAAGCGGAGCCTGCGCGCTGACAAAGTAGCCTGGTGAACCAGTCGGTCCCAATACATAGAGGAGCCGGGAGCGGTGGGCAAATTTCGCAACCTCTTCCAGCTGATCCACACAACTTGTCTCAGGAAACCAGATATCAGCGAGACAATCAGAGACAGCGCGGGTGCCCTGATACACAACAAGAAGCGCCGCATGGCTCATTGCGCGGAGCATTTCGCCAGCGCTTCAGTTTTCCGCCTGCTTTCGTACCCCATCGCAACCAGTTGATGCAGGATGAACCATGGACGGTTAGTTTAGAGGCTCCATCGGAAGTTGACGTTCCAAAAGCGATCACAGTCCTCAATCACTTTTGTGCTGCTGGCCTGGATTCCCTCCCACCTGCACTACTTAAAGATGGAGGGGAAGCCCCTCCCTGTTCCAACGTGTCTGGAAGGAAGTGAGCATCCCAGCTAACCTTAGTAAATCGATTGTAGTGGCAATATACAGGGGCAGTCGCACCGACTGTGTTAACAACAGAGGGAGTAAATTAACGCCAATGGCGATAAAATTACTGGCCTCGATTCTCATTCGTCTTATCATTGTGGAACGGGAATCCCTGAGTATGAAAGAGCAGACCGGTTTCTTCCCAGGAGGGGCTGTAAAGGCTATATATTCAGACTGCGGCAGGTACTAGAGCAGCGCCACGCTTACTGCAGACGGTCACCAGCTGTGTTCCTGGACTTCAAAAGTGCGTTCGATTCAGTCGATTGATCCATTCTGTTCAAAACACGTGCGGAAAATTACTCCCATGAAATATGTTGAAAATATGAAATATTTTGCGTGTCCTGTACTATAGTGACCTGTAGGGTATCTTTCCGATAGGTGAAGTTCACCAGTTTCCCAATTTCCTCGCTTTTACTCAACTTCATTGTGAACTCCATCATGGAGTATTCCCACGTAGAATCTTACAATGCAAGCATTGGAGTGCTGCCTGGTGAGGTGATTGATCTTCATTTTGCAGACGAATTGTCTTGCTGTTTAATGATACCGGGACGGCACAGTCAATTCTAAATAGCCTCTCTAGAGTGGTTCCATTAGTTGGTGTGCGCTTCGCACCTTCGAAGTGCAAAGTGTTACTGTAGGATCAACAGTCACTTGATGATCACATGAGCCTTAATAGCGAGGAACTCGAGGTAGTTGATCAATTCACTTATCTTGGCAGCTGCATCAGCAACGATGGGCGCATAAGCATTGGTCAGTTCACGTACTGCAGAAGCCAGAACTGCCTTCTTGAATCTGCGACACGTTGGCGACAGAAAGGGGCTTTCCTCGGTCTGAAAGGCCGTGCTTATAAGGCGATCGAGAAGGCCGTCCTACTCCATGGGAGTGAGATTTGGCCCCTTCTACCTGAAGATCTGAGGCAACTTTGATCATCGTTTTCTGGGAAGCATTGCTGGTGTCGGATGGTACCAGCGTGTCCGCAACGATGATATGCGTGAGTACTAGGCAGTGATAACCAAGTTATTATAGCAACAGATAGCACTGCATAAGTTGCGTTGGCTTTGGCACGTACTACGTATGCCTGGTCACGATTTACCGAGGAGGGACATGTTTTGTTTGCTAAATGTAGGGCGGCGCAAGGCGAGGTGTAGTAAAGTTGACTTGGCAGAGAGAAAGGAAGTCACTGACGACCAAACTGGATGCTGTCGGTCCGCCTTGCTTACCGGCCTGGAATTCACGTGATCCGCTTTGTGCTTGGCTCGAGACTTTACGAGACATGGCTGGCAGTAGACACCAGTGGCGCGTCCGCGGTTATCTCCTTATCTGTCTACCTAAAGTGTGTTTGGTGCTGAGTTATTTGCAGGGTAATGGCTGGTCATGACGCAGAGTAGCGAAAGACGAGGATGTTGTCTCGCTGATGCACGATAGCCAGCTGTTTGTGACGGCGCCTTGACCCTGAATGTTTGCTTAGAGTAATAAGGTTTTCCCGTAAGTCTCCCTTCTCTCCCTCTTATTATTCTTCCTTCCGTTCATGTGGCAGCGAAGTATCAGTTCAAATGGCTGACGTACTGCTGTTGTTGTGGATGATGACGCTTCAAGCCTTCGAAGGGTAAAGCACTGCCTTATCAGTAGCGAAATGGTTCGACCACTTGGCCTGTAATCCACGAGTCGTCGGTTCGAACCTGAGTGGGTGTTGTTAATGTCGCACCCAAGTAAGCATGTAAACGATGCGTGGCACAGATATTGGTGTTGATAAACAGTTCAAAGGAGCAATGAAAGTAATGTGTTGTACTTAACACTTGCCCAATAAACATTTGGCAGTGTCACAACACATGAGTGACAATAACAAAAGAGAGTGAGTAAGAGGACTGGAAGCAAAGTTACATGTGTTATGTGGGTAGTGAGCTTCCCGGTTGCCCAGGCCGAGGAGGAGGGTTGACTTAAGGGACGCTACCCCGAGCCTTTGGTCTAAAGACCTGACCCGCAAGGTAGCGGGGTGATTCACGAAGACCGTTGACAACCAAGTGGCTAATGAAAGTAAACCCACTTAGCAATCAGTGTTGAGAGGAATAACATTGAGACATTTCCAAGCACCAAATAGTTAACGATGCTAGGTCACAATGTGAAGTACCACAAGGCATCATCGAGTTAGTGAAGAGCAGAGAGAACCTAGCTCAACTAAACATGTTCTATTGAGGATAGTGAGAAGTGACAGCAAGGTGCATGACAAATATGCCTGAGGGCTAAAGCAGTGAAACGGCTATGACGTTGAAGAAATAAAAAGACGTGCATGGGCAGGTAAGTGCTTACTGTCCGGGATCTTGATGACGTGACCAACGCCGTCCCATTCGTTACCTGGACTGTTGGAGCGACGTATGATCAATTCATCTCCATGCATAATACGCAGCTCAGGGCCTGTGCATAAAAGAAAATAGATGTGATAAGCTAGCTGCAGTTCGTTAGATCCGAACGAAGTTCAAATATCCGAACTAACCCAGTAATCTAATCGACAAATGTAAGACTACAACGGCTCCCACCGTGCAAGCACTTGGTAAAGCTGAGGGGCGACTCACCTTCATTAGCGCCAGGTATGCGGAAGTAAGCGACGTGCCTTCGATTGAGAGCAGTTTCCCAACGAACAACAACATTTTCCAGCTTGAGAGACTCTTTAATCTTTTCGTCATATGCCGCCTCGATCTCCACTAATGGGATGAAAGTTTGGCGGTATTGTAAAGAAGTTTTATAACTAAGAGATAGTAATCAGATAAAGGAGAGAGAGTACCGTAGGAGGACTGGGCCGACTTCCTTATCAGCTCCAGGCTTTTCTAAGTCCTCTACTGCCGCCTGAGGGTTTTCTTTCCAAATATCCTCTAAGCGATTAATCTGTTGAGCCGATATTTGACGAGCTTTAGCCTGAGCTTCTTCACTTGGCACTTTAACTAGCCAGGACAGAAACTGCCGACTTTGTATAATTGGTTGCCACTGGGCGGGATCCCAGTACATGTCTTTGTTTTGGTTAGCGCAAACATTTCGACATAAGAGGACTACAACTGACTCCGATTTAGCGGGAACAAAACCAAGGAGGAAGACGTTTCTGGAACCGCAAACGTAACATTCTAAAAGAGTATCCTTCAAAGGTCCATCCTTATGCAATGTAACTTCCTTCGCTCGAGCCCGGACAAGGTGGTTAACAATGTGGCTGAAAATATGACTTCAAATTGAAGATTACCTGCCAGAAGTGTTTCCCCGTCCATTACAGAACCACTTTTTAGTTGTGTTGCAGAAAACCACGCATGCCGGATCATGGATACCACAGTAGGCGCAAGCATGTTCGGGTAATTCAGTGGTACTATTCTCAATGTCTCCCTTAAAATCTATGTTCGCGAAACTCTGGGTTAACGAAGTGATTTTTTCAGAAATATCGTTCTACAATAGGCTGAGTGTTATGGTAAGCATACTTTTTGTGTTAGGCCTCCACGATCCTCAATCTGGGACGTTTGAGACTGTGATGGTAGTGTGAAATCAGCGCAATCGTAATCCGGCCCTTGTGTATCACCACCTATCAAGTCATTCTCGTCAGGATCAAAGAAGGTCAAGGCTTGAGAATTCGGACCGTAAGAATCAAACGCGTCCATTGTGCGGCGTGCGGTGACTCGAATGTGCTGAAATGGGGGGAAAATGCACGCCTTCAGTTTGAACCAGAACGGTCAGGTACGGCAACGAAAAACAGCGGGAAAAATGTAGGTAATAAAGTATCGAGACAAGTCAGTAGTCGTGCATGTGCACCAACCGCGAGATGCCATCATACAATGAGGGAAGGAAAGTGATTAGCGCCAACGGATCTTGTAGACAACGATGCCAACAGGCTTTCACAACAGCCTACCAGTGTGAGGTCTGTGGGGCAGAAAGTTGTCAAAAGAGGCGAGATAAAAAAAACGGGAGAACGGTAGAGAAATGTCGTGACAAAGCTGTTAAATGCTCGTAGATATTGTGCCATCGGAACAATTTTGTTACGTGCTTGGGTCTGAGTTAAAACAAAGCAACCCCTAAGTGTCAAGTGAAAAGCTTTAGGATTCCAACAAACAAAACCACCACCCGTACTTAAGCGGATTTTAATTTGTGACTTCCGGATCATAAAACAAGTGGCCTGAGATTGCACTTTATGGGGAATAACCTAAAAATGTGGATCTGTGCCCGGATGATCAGTTACTAAAATGGACTGAAATGAACTGCATATGGTCAAATAAATATTATAATAATGATAATGTGTCAGCTGTACGCCGTAACGGCGCTTCGCTGCGGCGCGATCACCACCAGTCGTGCGTGGGCTGAGTATACCGCGAGGACGCCCACCCCTACGCGGATTTGAACCGGTGACCTTAAGGTTGCAAACCAAACGCGCGATCACTCGCCCACCGGCCGACTATATGGTCAAAACGTGTGCACGAATCCCTTAGCTCCGAGATAAGAGTTATGTATTAGCACCAACATATTTTATGGTGCCACTGCGAGAGACCAAAAATGCCCAAATGGGACGGCTGGCCGTTCTCAGTAGTGAAAGCTTGAGTGAGACCGGTAGAGAAAGCCGCAGAGAAATGAGTGGTGGCCGGAGTAATGGTGCATGATTAGAACATGCTACATCATTCCCCCTTCCAACGAGTGTCGTAGGGAACGTATCCAGTGACCCAGAGCCATGTTTTATGGAAAAGCAACCAAGGCATTCAAGTGTGGATTGTAAGAAGCAAGCGGGAACCGGAACAAGAGGTTTTGGATGTGCGGCACTACAGGAGCTAATTTGGTCCTGTCCTTGGATCCACCGGAGGATATGGTAGTAGCGCAGAACGATGGACGGTGCTAGAACAAATACAAGAAAATGGTGCAGTGGGAGCAGAATTGCAAAAAACGGGAATCAACCGGTTGGATCCGTTTGCTATGTAATCCACAGGTTCGTGGTTCGAAAATGTGTAGGTACGAAAACCACAAAATATCCCTAGCCTGCGCACGACTGATGCTGATCGCGTGGCATCTAATCGTCAGTAAGATGTCCTGGCGTCGCTGACGCTCACATCTTGACGAACAGGGGATAAGCAAGCTGCAAACGCACTGGCAAAGCATGTCTAGCTAAGACATAAAGACATAGTATGCATCCAAAAAACGCATGATAATACTTTGACTGACGCAGTTTGCCGGGTAGAGTTGAAGGGCATCTGATGAGCCACCTGGTCAAAAGCCACATCATCAACGACAGCAGTACATAAGTCATTTGAACTGATGCTTCGCTGCCATACAACCATGATGACCTATGAAATAAAGAATAATAAGCGGGACAGAAGAGGGACTTATCTGAAAACCTTAATGCCCTAAGCAAACATTCAGGGTCAAGACGCCTACAACTTATGTAGACAACATACCGTCACAAACAGCTGGCTATCGTGCAAAGGCGGCATCGGCGAGACAGCATCCTTGTGGCTTTCACTGCCACGCGTCATAATCAGTCATTACCCCGCAGATAACTCAGCACCAAACACACTTTAAACAGGCAATCCGATCAGGAGACGGCAGCAGACTCGCCACTGGTGTCGATTGCAAGCCATGTCCTGTAGTCTCGAGTCAAGCACAAGACGAATCACCTGCACTCCAGCCCGGAAGGCGAGTTCATTTCAAAATGCTAAGTCAACTTCTGTCCACCTCGAGCCTTGCGCCACCCTACACCTGGCGGAAGAGGTAAGCGGTGACCAGGCATACGTAGTAGGTGCCCAAGCCAACGCAACTTATGAAGTGCTATCTGTTGTTCTAGGGAGCTAGCATGATTAGCACTACCTAGTGCTCGTTTACGCACATCATCGTTGCGGACACGTTGGTACCAGCAATGCTTCGCAGACAACGATGATTAAAGACTTGAAGGCGTCTCCGATCTTCAGACTGAAGGGGTCAAGTTTCACTATCATACAGCAGGACTGCCCCTACGGTGGCCGTGTATACGCGCTCTTTCAGACGGAGGGAAACCCCCTTCTGTCGCCAAAAATGCCGCAGGTTCAAGAAGGCAGTTCTGGCCTTTGCAATACGTGAACTGACTTCAGTTTCTATGCGTTCATCGTTGCTGATGCACCTGTCAAGACAAGTGAATTGATCAACCACTTCGAGTTCCTCGTTAGCAAACGTCAAGGGGTCATAGTAGCTGGTAATCCTGCAGCAACACATAGCACTTTGAAGGTGCGAAGCGCATACCAAATAATGGGACTACTCCAGACAGACTATCCAGGGTTGATTATGCTGCGGCAACATCGTCGAAAAGCAGGATGATATCGTCCGGGTAACCAAGATAAACTTTCACTAGGCAGGACCTCAACGCCTACATCGTGTGATTCCGCAAGGAAACACTCCATAATAGTCCACGACGAAAGGGAACAAAAATGGGGAATACATAGCTCTGGATTTGCGCTACCAAAGTAGGCTTGAAGTCAAAGTCAGCTGTTTTTGAATGCACAGCGGCGGTCGCTCGTGATCGGACAACCCAGACGAAAGCCACTTGTGCTCGAAAAGTTATCCGCCTGATGCGGCCTGTAGTGTTCGAGTATAGAGCACGTAGGATGTTCACACATTTCGTGGGAACACCTTTCCGCGCAAGTATTTCGAACAGAATGCATCGATCGATTGAATCCAACGCACTTTTGAAATCGAGGAACACAGCTATTGTCGGTCTAAGGTATGCGTGGCGCTGCTCTAGCTCTTGCCGCAGTGTGAACATATAATCTATACAGTTACGTCTTGGGCGGAAACCGGCCTGCTCTTCCTTAATCCGGGATTCCCGTTCCACAGTGACGCGACAAACGAGAATCGCGGCCAGTACTTTTGTCACAATTGGCGTTAAGCTAATACCACTGTGGTTAGCAGTCTGTGCGATTGCTTTTCTTGTATAGAACTACTGTAATCGATTCACTCCAGTTAGTCGGGACACTTCCAGATACGTTCGAATAGGGAGGTCAGTGCTTTGCAGAGGACACCATCTCCATCCTTAAATAGTGCAGGTGGCATGGAATTCGGGCCAGCAGCACGAAAACGATTGGGGGCTGTGATCGCGTTTCGGACTTCGGCTTCCGACGGCGGCTCTAAACTAAGCGTCCATGGCTCATCCTGCATCACCTGAGTAGGAAGAGTTACGAGAGAAGGGGCGCCACTGGACTGATCTTGAAAGTGTTCCGCCCAACGAGCCATACGGCGCTCTTTATTGTGTATCAGTGAACCCGCGCTGTCTCTGTTTTACTGACGCCTGGTTTCCTGGGACCAGTGGTGCAAATCAGTTGGAAGAGCTTGCGGTAATTGTCGACTGCTCCTGCCTCCTCCATTTCTCGAGCGCTACTGGTCCACCAGGCTTCCTTGTCAGCACTCAGACTCGGCTTTAGCTCGCGTCTAACAGCCCGTCTGGCCACACTGTGCTCAGAGCCAGCCGGGAGGTTTCTTCTGGATTCCGACAGGTTCACCAACCTCTCGGATATCCAATGACTGGTTCGGTGGCGATTAATAGTACCACAAGCAGATGTTCCTGCGTCGTGCATGGCGACCGAGGTCCTATTTCACTGAAGCTTACTGTCATTAGGACAATACAGTGAAAGTTCGGTACGCAGTGCGTCTTGATAGGCTTGTCTGACTGAGGGCTGAGACAATTTTGCAGTTGACAATCGGAGGAGGCGCATGGTGCGCCTCTCGGTAAAGTACATGGAGAAACGGCAGCGTACGAAGGCATGATCAGGGTCGACGCAGGTATTCCAGTAGGAGCGGAAATCCAGGATGGAACCACGCCACCTGTAACCGGCCGAAATAAGTTGTAACTGGCAACCCACGATCGAAACTTTGTATCTTAGACGCCTCAACACTCTTGCTTGGTTATATCTTTGTAGAGATAAGAATAACCGATCGGACGTCAAAGTGCCGGGGTCCCGTCTTGCTCAATGGCGCATGAAACGGAACATGCTACACAAAGATGGATCGCCCGTGGACGCCAATTTGACTTGAACCTCAACATAAGGTGATAAAAAGTAAATATACACCAATTATCTCCATAGGATCTTATCCGTGACGGAAACAATTTAATAAACACTTCTTCCGTCGGCATTCCAAATGATATACAGATAATCCAAGGGATTCGGAAGGCCTTGCTAGCCGATCGTTGCCAGTTAAAGCTGGATTTGAAGTCCAGAGCTAATGTAACCCCTAAGTCAAGTTGTTGGGACACAGGTACTTCGTTCCCGCCAAGCATGAAGTGCTTTGTTGGACCATGTGATTCTGCGCGCAGTACTGAGCGCTTTTTGTGATTTATTGCCAGAACGGATCAATCAAGAAGTCTGTCTAGAACTTGTTGTGAAGTTTGGGAGCCAACAGAATCGCTCACCGTGCATCTGAGCTTCAAGTCGTCTGCGAACATGAGGGTACGCAACCCCCCCCCCATCACTTCCGGCAATTCGTTAACGTACACAGCAAACAGCAGTGAAAAAAGGAATCAGCAGTACGACGGTACGCAGTACCAACACTTCGCTGCCGTGCAATCACCAGCGGTCGCACGTGGGCTAGGCCTCTGCGAGGGTCGCCCCGCCCCTACACAGGCTCGAACCAGCGCCGCCAGATTACAAGCTACTTACCTATGGGCTACGGGCCGCACAGACCA